GCGCGGTGCAGAAAACATCCCACTCGTCAGCTGCGTCTGGGAAACGCCCGTCGGCGAGTGTTTTCGGCAAGAACAGGAACCGCTGGCGAACACCGGAGACCACGAGGACGAAGCACGCGTTCGACAGAGCCAAACTCCCCACCGCGCCGGTGCTACGAGCAAGAGCCCCGAGCCGCGGAGAAGAACGTTACTTCCCCCATCCGTACGCCCAGTGACTCATTTTCTGCGAAGGCTTCTTAAAATTTCCCAACTCTGTCCGTCAAAGCGACGACGAGGAAATTCACGGCACGGAAGGCTGCAGCTTGCCGGCGATGAGGAGCACGGCCTGCCTCTGTGCTCCGCTCAGGCCGAGCGCCAAGCCAGCCGGCAAACCCGAGGGAAAACCCCCCGGAACTCCTCAAGTCGTCGTTAAGGCTTTGCTTTTCAGCAGAGGAGCAGCGCCAGCCGCCCGGTGCCACCGGCGGGGCACGTGCACTAACGCAATCCCAGTGACCTTTCCCATTTCTCTTACACGGGAGGGCCCAGAAGGCGGGTGGGGGAATTTCCATCGGCACAGACGCCTCTCCCGACGTTCTCAGGACGTTTCGACGCGCATCGCTCCGGCAGACAGCGCGACTGCCGCTCGCCCGCCCCGCTCCGACCGCGGCGATTCCCTGCGAGTTAACGCTGCTGAAACACCCGGGGAGAAGACAAACAACTGGAACACGTCGGAAGGTTAAAAACTAAACTCTGCTGGAAAGCAAACAAGCGCTGACTCAACAGGCAGGAAGCTGTTAGTCCTGCTCAAAAAGGAACGATGTTTTGGACCCTTGGGAAACCAAACCTGGGTCAAATCCACTCTGGAGACTCGGGAGCTGTGAACTGCGCTCAGCGCCCACGCCAGGGCAGCAGACACGAGCCGGGTCACGGCCTCCTTGGCTCTCCCCTCCCTGAACCACCAGCAAACCTCGGGCAGAGCCGAGCCGGGCAGGGCTGCTGGACCACGCGTCCCGCGCCAGCACGGAGCTGGACTTTAAGCGTGACCTTTCTGACCACCATCGAAGCGACGATTCTTATCTGCTCCTCTTGCAGCCCCGGATTCTCCCCCGGCTCACTCCAAGCTGCTGACGACCCAGTTCAAGCCTGTGCCAGCGGCTTTGGTTTCCCAGCCGCGCGTTGCCCCCGGGCGGCGTCGAGGAGCCCCAGAGGACTCTGCGGACCACACGCTGAAAACCACCGTCACGAGATGCTCCTCCAGAGACGTTGGTGAAGAGTTTGTGCTCCAGCTCTCCAACACACCATCCCAGTCCAACAGCAGCCCGGAGACCGGGCGCTCCCGAGGCCTCTCCACAACGTTTCGGTCTGCAAGTCGTGTTCTGCCAGCACAGGTTTGAAGCGCAGTAAAAGGAAACTCTCCTCCTGCCTTACATGTCCTCTGCCGCTGCTTCGCCAGCGTTCAGCCCGGAGAGTAGGGAAGGGAAGCGATGGGTACAAAAAAAAGGCACCGCGACGTGCCGCGCACCAACGCCCGGCACATCCTCAGCAGCTCTTCCCCGTCAGGAGCCGTTTCCACCGAGCCCACGGGGACTGACCCATTTGCTTCGTTATTTATCCGGAGCCGAACAAAGCAGGAGCAGAGAGCGCAGGCGGCGGAAACGCGTCTAAATTTCTCCAGCTTCAGTGGCCGCACGCGTTCCCAGGCGCAGAGTCGGACACACCGCAGAGGTGTTCGGCCAGGGGAGACAAAACGGCTCCGCTCACGAGGCCTCTTCTCCTACCGCTGCTGTTGTCTCTCCAGAAAGAAAAGATTCATTTGCAGTTTCTCGCTCCAACAGCCAGCGCCAGCTCCGAGCGCAGCCGGAAAGGCGCAATCAGGAGACTCCAATTATTCCCACTTCTCATCCACTGCCGTAACCAGGCGGACTCACTCCCCACCTCCAGTGCTTCAGCAGCCCCGCTCGCACGAGCGAGCGCAACGGAACGCTCCGAAAACGGCCACGGGAATGTGGGGACGGAGCCCGGCAAGGTCGGGGTGAATTCGGGAACGTGGCGGGCAGACGGCGTGTTTCGGAGGTGGGAGGAGGACAGACATCCCTCGGCAGGACACGCAGCCAACGCCTCCCTTCCACAGACCATTCTGGACGTTTCCAAAGCGGAACCGGCTTCTTCTGTCCCAAGTCACTCTATGAAATCAGACGTTGGACCGAGAGGAGACAAAGAGCTTCATCTCCCGAGGGAAGCGCCTCTTACCCCAGCCCCAGGCACGAGTCTCTGCCCACGAGGGGCAGGAAGAAGCCGTCTCCGGCGGGGGGTATTTCATCAGGACCCGTACCGAGGGTACGACACCTTCCCTCGAAGCAGCCGGTGCTGCGACTGTTTCTCTGACGCGGGAATGAGGGATGGAGACTGATTCTCCAGTCCGCCGGCGTGCGGCCCCCCCTGCCCTCGCAATCCCACTTACATGGGACCGCTTTTCCGTCGCACGTCCTTCAGCGACACTGGCAGCAAACCCCTCTGTATCCGTTCGATATTTCCGAGCGAGCTTCCTTGCAAACGGAGCCGACGCTAGTGAGATGTTCCTCCATGTCAAGATTAGTTATGATCGTCATTCCGGGTGATAATCAGGAGCTAAATTAGCTTCCATTGTCTGGCTCCAATGCCCTCGACACCCACAAACACGACCAGCTAAGAAGATTAGCGAGCATGCCGTAGCTATGTTGCAAAACCAGCCTTCGGAAGCGGGAGCCCTGAGCTAGATGCCGGATACGGGAGCGCGACGCAGCGAAGGACGGCAAGAGAGGACTTTGCAGGGGGCGCAGGAGCCTGAACAACC